ATGCGTCCCGTAATAAGCATAAATCCTCGAAGGCTTATCTAGCTGCGGCCAGAAGAATGCTAAAATAAAATATCATACATTTTACCTTCTACCCGTCGTACCTTGCGTTACGACTATTTCCAGTCGTCTCTTTGTCCTTTTCTCTCTTTAAAGCTACTTCCTCAACTTCCGCGCGTATCTCTACAGGCAGTCTCCTGGGCTGGCTTATACGCGTTACCATTCAACAGATCCAATATGGGTCCGGTCTCAAGTCGTTGAGAGATGAAAAAGAGGACGGATGGCCAAGTCGTTGAGAGAATCGTAGGTGGTTTTTGCAAAGGGTACTTTTGCCTATAAGGGAGGTGAGATGTTGGTCCAGGATTGGGAGGGTCTAATGAGCCGAGATAGATTCGGCCGCTGCTCCACGATCAGTGCTGGCTGACGGGGTTCTCGCAAGGCAGGGAAAGGGTTGAGCTCGAAGCCCGATCAGTCATTAGACAAGTGGGTATTCACATATATCGAGTTGTAAAATCGATAGGGGTGTCCGTTAGCCGTGTATCCTGTAAGGAGTCCTGGTGGGGATGAGATGCGAGCCTCCGCTCACCCCTTTCGGACCTCCTTCCATATACCTCCTGCTCTCTCTCTCTCTCTCTCTCTCTCTCTTACTCTCTCTTCCTATATTTCCCCTTCGACCCCTTTTGTTGCTTCGCCCAGCCACCGAAGCAAGCCAGCCACCCCAAAGCCACCCCCGGGCAACCAAGCCTCGGCCCCGCTAACGCTCCGAAAGCCTCCCCCTTCTAGCACCGCACGTATCCAGTCCTTGCATATTAATCCTGCCCATAATTCCCACTTCCAGTTTGGGCAACCCTTCGTTCGGTTGCCTCACTACACAGGGAGAGCCTGCCAGGCCGCCTCCTATCGATTGGGCTTTCTTTCCGAGCCCGGCTTTTAATTGGCATTCTCCTCTCGCGAGAACAGAGATGCTGCGTCGCTGTGATGCCCTCTTTCTATCTCTCTGACTTTGTGCCTTATCATAGCTTTCAACCCTTACATCGCCCGTGCCTCGTTGCCCTGCGACTTGACTCTCCACGTCTCTCTCGTCGACACACTTATTTAGGTTCCTTCAAGGATTTCTTTTTTATTCTAAATCTTGTTTCATATGTTTAATTTTTTTTTTTTTTTTTTACAATTTTTTGTAAAATTTAATCAACCCCTAAGAACGTCTCGCGATATTTTCTCGTTGAGCCTCGAGGTATTTTCCATAGACGGACGGACAGAGGCTGCGCGTCGTAAAATTAATACGAAGCATCGGCCATCTTGCTCACATATCTATGTATATCTGCATACGCCGTATATACAGTATATGTAAAGGGAAGGGGTCTAACGTTGGGCAGTATGTGAAACGGGAGTAAAGAGAGGGTCTAGAAAAGGAAGGAAGGAAGGAAGGGCTTTACGTACGTACGTTGCCGTGCGTGATCCGTTGTGCGTGTGTATGCGTGAAGATTGATTATACCGCGCGAGAAAATGTGATCAATAGCTCGACAAACAAAAGCCCAACGCCCATAATGCAAATAGCAAAAATCATGGAGGATTAAGGCATCGCCATGCTACGAGAAACAATACCTTCCTATCGTTACTTACAGCCTGACGGCCATTCAGTGCCGATTCTCCACTTCCGCCCGGAGAATCAGCTTCGTCCTCCCATCCCCTTACTCACGCTCTCTGGTCAGCTTTACTAACCTGCGTCCCCTTGCACCCCCTGCCACTACCAGCCCAGCCGATATCATCGATCAAGCTCTCTGTTTTCTTACATTTTTTTTTTTTTTCATTCCTTCAACCCCGTCGCTAGACTTGGACACTTTTTAAATTTTCAGTATTTTTCCCTTGGGATGGAGAAGCTAACCCTTCCAGATAATATTATTCCCACAAAGAGATGCAAAGCTGCCCTTTATGGCCAGCTTGCCTGTCGACTCGGCCCTCGAGGATTCCCAGCGAACTGGCACTGCTTCCATAGAGAGCGTCATCGGGGGACAGGGGTACGAACGGGGAAATAGAGAAAAGCCTCGTTACGCAAGTAGACACTTTCAACTTCGTTTATCTCTTTTCTTTTAACTCTGGAATTTTCCTGCCAAGCATCAAACCATGCCACTGGAAGCCGTTTGAGAATCTCACGTGATACCAATCTGAATACAGCGAAACGACCTACTCTCTATAATCGGGGTACCTCGTACCGTTGCGGTTTTTACGAATGGCCAGAAGACATTAAATTTAACAGGTCTAGCCACTTGCCCTGCTTTTAGCCCTGCGGCCGGAATTTAGCTACCTGTGTGTAAGTACGTACCAAGGGCGATTATTAATATCGTCGATACTCAGGAAAACGTGTAACCCCTCCAATACCCACCTACATACGTACCGAGAACACACGTTCCATATACATGCACGAATATTCCAACACGAATGGTTCTCGCATTCTGGCATCGGACCTGACTCGTCTGATTCCATTAGAGAGGAACGGGGTGTCCAGCCCAACCTTCTTTCCGATGGAAAATCGCGAGGCGGAATGGACGTGTCGGTAGAGCGAGATGGGTCAGTGGATAACGAAGGGGATAAAGAGAGAGAGAGCGAAAGAGAAGGACACGGAGGAAAGGTCCGGCACGGTTAGAATTAAATAATTCAGGAAGAACGGTGCTATCGTCCATGGCTAATCGATGCGACTCTGCTCGAGCCAGCAAAGTCACAGTGTAAAGGTAAAACGAAGAGTTTGACGGCCCGTTGAAATTCCTGGAGTAGCTACCTGTGCATTGGTATGCATATGTATGTACACGTATAGCTAAACGTAAGTCGGGCGTCGCGACGCAGCCTACTTTCGGCCTGTCAATCACTACCGGCGTTAATTCCTCCCTGTCTTTCAGCTCGGGGACTCCTGTATACCTATATATCCACCTGCCTCTTTACCTATATCAACCCACCCATCTACCCTTCCTTACTGTTTAGCTACCCACCCTGTTAACCTTAATAACGGACATTACTCGAGCCAATCGTAAGGATGGCTGGCCAAAAAGGAATAAAAAAGGATGTAGTCCACTAAGAAATAACGTATAGGTACCTCTTCAACGTATATGGGATATCGAACGTTTACAAGCGGCGCTCAGGTTCTCGAGCTTACCGAGAACGTCAAGAGCCACGAGGGTGTCCCACGTAACCACTAGACACGTATCGATTACGAGTGACGGGGAAGAATCGACGGATAATTCCACCCCCTGATAAATAAACTAACGAGTGAAAACGGCTCCGTACGTCGAAGCTCTTCGATTCCGTTATAGGACGAGGTACGGCATCACCTTATTGGACGCAAAATTTTACTCATCCTTAACCCTCTGTTGGTCAAGGGTTGCATTGTTTACGAACTGTCAAAGAAGGAACACGTGGACCGACTGTAGATATGTATACAGTGTATAAACTTACGCGTGCACACGTGGCTCAGCTACGGGACGCTGCTTAACACATATATCGTACTGACAACGAAATTCAAAGTTCACCCTACGATTAACCATCAGTTTACGTATATATCTATATATACGTACACTCGACTCGCGATATCACAAAAAGCTCGATTTCCCACTGACGCTTTCGATTCAATGAGGAATAACAATTAACTCGATCGTTTACCTGTGTTCACTGTGCATCCCACGAGGATCTACATAGGAAACGAGAAAAAGAGCATCGCGCGTGGAATTTCACCTCACGCATTTACGCACTCGGGTTCCTCTTCCCGTATGCGGTATATGTACAGGTATAATACGAGTGCCCAGAATGTGTGTACGTTACTGAAGAGATAGAGGAAGCGTGAGAGGATTCGAGAACGAGCGGTCGATCCCAATTGATCATACGGGTTAGCTACTCGTACAGAGTGGCTCACGGGTGCTGCCAGTATATTCCGGCATGCTGACATTTTTTATACTATTTTTTACCTCTTTTTACCTTTTTTTTTACCTCTTACTTTACCGTTTTCATAAAACTGTGAAGAGTCATCGATTCGTGGTTCAGTCATTAATAAAAATCCCACTTGTATAAACGGAACGACGTTCTCTTTAAAAATAAATCGGGGAACTGGTTTGTAATTAATGGCCACTGAACGTCACACTTGTAAGTTTATTACTGAGAATCCGTGTAATTTTTTTAATTGAATTAGCAAAATTGACATACCTACTGATTGAATCGGTACATAGAAAAAAATTTTTTATAAATGTGAGAATTTCATGTGGTTTTTACGATGGTATTTAGATGAATGATACAGCTCAGTTTTGAAAAATTTATACGTACGTAGCCTTTGGCTGGTAGAGAAATTTATTTGCCCTGCCGTGAACGAAGTGCGAACTGACACTACTCACTGAGCCGTCAGCCCAGTTAATGAATTTTACTTTCATTAAGAATTTTAATCGTCAATATTTATATATATACGAAGACATGGAAGTTTAAAATTATCGTAACCTCAAAGAATTGCACGAATATGTACAAGCATGACTCATATACCTAGCAAAGAAAAGTACCATAACATAATATTATACTATTGGAAGCTGCATCTGTTTCTTAGTATGGCGTAACGTTATACCTAGAGGAAGGGTGGGGGGATAGGGGTAAGATTGCTGGCAATAAATAATTAAGCGATTCGAAAGATCTTAGGGCTATATAGGGATGCTGCCGTTTGTAGCCAATGGTGGTTCGGGTTAAGTCAAAGAGAGAAGGTGGAGGGTCTATTTATCGAGGCCGATCGAACATTATTTAATTTAATCCTTGATAATTACATTCGGCCACTCGGTAATTAACGTTCTCGGTATTGGCTTTCCTAGTATATACGTGTATGTATATATATACAGCGCAATGAAATTCTCGATTAAATTAATAAAGGGTCCAACATTAAGCTCCTTAGCTCTGGTCCCGAGCACTTCGATAATAAAAGAGAAACAATAATATACAATTGATTCTCGTTTAATTTATTTCTTATCTTTTTTCTTCCTCAGATCGGACAACTCGCCGAGGAAGTGTCGAGGCTTCAGCAAAGTCTTCAGCGGCTCCAGGAGACGAGCGCCCAGGCGACGGCGCGTCTCGAGGAGGAACTCGAGGCCAGGAGACAACACATAAACAGACTGGAAAGTAAACTCGAGAGACAACGGGATTACGAGGATCTCAAACGCGAAATCAGCGTCCTGAGGTCCGTCGACTTGTCGCAAATCCCGACCGGCGAACCTGGCAAAAGTCTCGAGCATCTCCTGATGGAACGTTCGAAGGCCTTGCAGCAGGCGGAAATCCTCAAGCCACCGAGCACACCGGATGCTCTCGGTGAGTACTCTGAAAAATATCACTATCTCTGTCTCTCTCTCTCTCTTTCTCTCTCTCTGATTTCAATTATCACACTTTCCATATAAAAAATCAGAGTCATATCATAATCGCGTATAAGTTACTCGTTTGCTCCGAAAATGAAGCAAAAGTAAGCACCGTGTTCTCCTCGGGTCCTCCTTTGCGAATTTCCGTATAGCCCTCACGTTTCACGCCGTTCTATTTCGTTTGCGCAATTTTCTGACCCCTTCGC